TTAAAAGTCAGTAATGTCAGTATTACATAATAATATGTGGTTGTAAATAAACTAATTTTACGTACCATTTGCGTGAAAATTTCATTAAAAAATCTATTATGAAGCTTTTTCAAAACATAATGTGACACCATGTATATTTTTAATTCCATAAAAAAATCAAATAGTTTTCAAAATAATTTTATTATCTATATTCCCCATTCAGAAGTTTATATTCACGTTCTTCTTTTCCTACTCCGACTTTTCATATTAATTGGACCAATTATCACACCAAATCCAGAATTTCTTCCACCGCTACAGAACCCTAGGCAAACGAACACTCGAGCTCAAGCCCGAGTCCTATGGTATATTAAACTAATTTCGTGCCTTCGAAAGTTTCGTTTGCCAGGCAGGATCTCCTATGGAGCGTTGCAGTATAATAACGAACAACTTTGATGTATGATTAATATTTCCTACCGACCCTTAAACTGACAGCAGTGTTCTGGTGTTATACAGGGTATTTTAAAAACATGTTCCATCGCTCGTGAGGAGATTCCTCATGTAAAAATAAAATTTATTTTTTATATCAACATAAACTTAATTCTTTTCGAATTATTATTATTTTCTTCAAAGCACCTGTAGCGATTAAAATGACGTTTTGGGTTTGAAAATTACTTTAAGTGTTACTTAAGTGTAAGGCTAAAAAATGTTGACAGATTCACAAGGAATGTGCATGTGGGTTATCAGTGGAAATAACTGACTATACTCTGTTTTTTTTTCTCAGGTAAAATTCCGACAGACGATGAAAAAAAGCAGATGTCGTCTCTTGTTGTTTAAAACAAGTTTGTTAATTTGTCAAACTCTTGCAAAAGGTTATAGCTTTGTGCCAAATTTTGTCAAATAGAAATGATAAATATTTTGCATTTTGCATTTTGGACTGTGTTACTACGTGTGTAACTCAAGAGCAAATTAAGTGTTATCCAAACCATAATTTACAGTTAATATTCAAAGACACAGTTTGCCAGAGAGTTGCAAATTAGCCACAAATAAAGTTTGTATAACATCTTGTATATAGTACCAAAAACTGGAGTATCTGTAAAATATCATCACACGATAGGTAAATAATACATTTTAGATAATACAGATAACTGGTTTAAAAAAATCAAGATTAAAGTTATTTAACCCACTAACTTACTTCAGTAAGTGTTATTATTAATAAAATATTTTGTTTTATTTATTCTTTTGCAATATTATTTTTTTTAATTGTACATAATTTATATTGATAAATGTAATAATAAATTCAGACTGTTGCTTGAGATTAAACTAAGAACTAGGTATGTGGTGTTAAGGTAACATCTGGTATGGGTGGTGTTTTGTTTAAAATACACCCTTGTTAATTTTGTTTTGTATTAACACATACCGTAATTTTTTTAATATAACAACTCGATTAGATTTTTTCAGTTTTATACAGTTTTTTTTTCACAATATTTTGAAGTAATCAATTGTCACTCAAATTTTAAATATATTAATTTTCTGCTATGCGTTCCAATTTGTACCAACTTATTTTTTTGTAAAATAAAATAAACTACTTTGAAATTAAAATGACACATCTATCACTGTCAAGGATTTTGTCGTTGGAGAGACTATATTTTTTCTTTTGCTAACAAAATTGAGTAGGCCGATTAATGCTGATTAAAAGTTCTATTTTGATATTTTGCGTTTATCTCATATCTCATATCTCATGAAGAAAAAATATTCCAATCATAACGCATATGCACGTCTCTGGTAAATCTCTCGACAGTTTTTTAGCATTAGAATATATAGTACTTATAGCCATCTTTTACTCTCAAAATATCATTCGAATTGCTTAATGCACTTGGATGCCATCCAATATCTATATAATAAAGGAATCTATATAATAAATCGAAAAAAACGAATCTATTTACGTTAGGAATAAGAATGACGGGTAAATGTATTTTACAATACCAATTAAACAAAAATAAAAATATTCTGTTTTAAAAAAGAAAACAGGTACAAAACCTTCAAAGATTTATGGTTTTCTGTAAAGATAATCGCGTAACACTTTCTCCGAAAATTCATTAAGTGCGAAAAGGATTCTGTTTACTTCAAAAATTACGGTCCGGAGGTGGATGATCGGGGAAAAGTTGCTTCTTCGCGAACCCCCCGACGATAATCATTTATAAAACGAACCCCCTGGGGGCTGGGGAGCAGTAATAAAGGGGTGCCGAAAAATAAGTCGGGAAGAAAGGAGTTTATATTCGATATTAAGAACGGAGAGGGAGAGTTACGCCTCAAGGTTTTATCCGGAAGATTTGTTTCAGACTCGGTTTTGAGATTTGTAATTTTTGTATTTAGGTTGATTATATGCCGTAAATTTAACGTTTTTAGGGGGAAGGATAAATTTGTTCTGTTTTTTTTATTATTTTACACGGTAAGTTTTAAATAAGTGCAAATAATTTTAGAGGTATTATATTTCGAACCCAGAAACACACATTGAGGTTTTTTTCGAGGCGAATTGGAATAATTTTGAACGATTTTTTGGATTTGTTTGTAATTTTCAGTTAACAAACATAATTGCATGATAGTATGGCAATAGTTGATTACATTTACAAGAAAGAAAACCCAGTGATTCTCAAAAGAGATCCAGTGTTTCTCAAAATTAAGCAAAAAATCATTTTTTTTAATTTTCAAAGTAAAATAACTCGGTTCTTTTGGACTTATTTGATAAACGGTAAAGAGAAAATATCGATGGTCTAGTTCACAAAAAATTATTTGTTTGCTTAAAACAAATACAACTTCTTAGCTAGTTTTAGTTTAAGATTATTTTGATAAAGAAATTATTATCATATACATTCACATTATGCAGTGTAAAGACCACTATGTTTTTATTTTTTTGCTTTATGATTAAACTATTAATTATATATTAGAACTCTTTCAATATGCGAAATGAAAAATATTAACAACTGAACATCTATTTTAATGTTTAAATTTATTTATGTAAATAGGGTGTCCGTTATTTACAAAGTGGATTATTTCTCTCACGACGCTCTCTAAATTTTTAGTTTATTGTCTAAAAAAATAACAGACTATTGTAGACCCTTAATATTCACAATACACCTTGCCCCAAAGACGAATCGTCCCATTTAAATTACATGGCAATTTGCCACATTTTGCAAATCATTTTTTTTCTATCGAACTTGTTCTCTCGCAGCCATGACAATATTATTGTACAGAATTGAACGCTCTACAAAAAAGGTCTTTTACTATTTTTCGATAAACCTACTCCTTCAAAAGTTATTCACGGTTAAAGTTAACCACTCCGTAAATTCCTAACTTCTTCAACTTTTTTAACAAAATTACGATTATTTTTGAAAAGTTTAATCTATTACTGTAAAAATATACAATTCTGATGGTGTTAAGGTTGGGAATAAGAAATCTTCAAGTCTAATGAAGTTTAAACCATTTAAGTATAGCTGATTTATTTTAAAAAACAATGTTTATTAAAATAAATCAGCTATACTTAATCTATCTTAATACTATCAGCTTAAATGGTTTAAAGTTTGTAAATAACGGACACCCTAATAAACAAACGAGTTTGCTATACATTTACATTATGCATTCCAAAAACATAAAATTATTTTTTTATCACCTGTGACAGCACATTTAATTTAAATATTTATGAACCATGATTATACTATGAATTATATATTATAAATATTTCAAATGCAAAGAGAAAATATAAAATAATACAGTCTCTTAACCAGTCTATAGTTGAAAATTATTTTTAGAAAGAAATGCGTCTCATATACATTTACATTATGCATTGCAAAAACATCAAGCTATTTTTATGTCTCCTGGGACGGTACACTATAAAAACTAATTATTAGGCTTTTTCTCTATATGGATTAACCAGATTACCGCAAGCTATTGCTAGGTTATTCTATTAATTTCAACTGTATTTTTTAGATATTGTGAATGACCGTAAACTAAAAAGTATAAAGTATATTGATACCACTAATTTATTTCACTAATGTCGAGCTTCTGAATCAAGCTTAAGAGTTTGATATCTAATTTCAAAAATTCTGCTACTTTCAGCGTCCATGCTTCCACACCATATAACAAAACGGACCAGACATACCACTTCACCATTCTGTATCTGAGGCCGAAGTTCAAGTTCCTATCTGTGAGAAATATTCGAAGTTTCAGAAAAGATCTTGCTTGTTCTATCCTGCATTTGATCTCCTGATCTGGATCCCACGATTCGTTAACCATGCATCCCAAATATTTAAATTGTGTGACCTGCTTGATGACCTCTCCATTTAAGTAAATTCTGGTGTTCGGAATATTGTTTCTGCTAACAGCCATAAATTTAGTTTTTGTAGTATTTATGTTTAAACCCAGTCTTTGGCTTTCATTGTTAACCTTATTTAGAAGGATTTGGAGATCATTTGCATTGTCTGCCAATATCACTGTGTCATTGGCATATCGGATATTATTAATTTATTTTCAAACCAATGGGACTATCGGAGATTGACTCAGTGAATGCTCTTTCCATATATAAATTGACTTTCTCCACTTATTTCCTCACATTTTTTGTACAGTCTTGTATGCAGCACCCGTAGAAAGAGCTTAAGGAAGTGGCTCATTACACTAATAAGACGATACACTTTACACCAAGTTGCGTTCCTTGACTTGGGTAGCGTGATAAACGTAGAACGAAGCCAGTCTTCAGGGATGTGAGGGGTGTCATAGATGTTATTGAAAAGCTGTACTATAGTTTTTAAGTTTTGTTCATTAATTAAGTGGAACGTTTCCGAATATATATCATCAGGCCCTGGAGTTTAAGACCAAACTTAGTAAATAGAAACTGTTTTAAGTTAAAAATTCTGAATGCTCTATAATTTCAACAAAAACCTTACTAAAATTAAGTTGAATAGATTAAAGTCCTACTAAGCTCAATTCTTTTCAAGTAAAAATAAAATCTACTTACATTATTTGGAGACGTAAAATTCCGATTTCTGGCCATGTAAGCTTCCGCCAGCGGTGTCACGTTCTGGAGGGGCGCGCTCGGTGACGTGGCCGCCGACGCGGGCGGCGATCCGGCAACGTTGCGTCCGAAATCGGCCGGATTCCCGGAAACGGACAGCGCTGAATTATTCAGACCCGGAGTCTGTGCGGCCGAGCCCAGTTGATAGTCGGAATCTGGAAAAGAAAACGAAGAGGAGTTGAGAGATGAAGTCGGTAATCTCTCCGTTCGGAAGAAATCTCTCTGTTAGGAAGGCGTCGATGTGAATCTGTAGTGATTTAATTTAATGTTATGATTTTTGGGCATAATGTTATGGTATTAATGTTATGATGTTTGATGTAAAACGAGATTTGGTATGTTAGTATATGACATAAATTAGGATTGATTGACTACAATTTTTGACATTTTCGAATATTGTTTAATTGAAATTGTAACACGAAATACCAAGTGTGTGGTATCAAATTATTCGTAAAAAAATGCTAATAAAAAATAATGCTAATGTTCCAAATATGCTAATGAGCCACTCTTGTTCCATTTGAAAAAATTGAGATATGATTAAAAATACGATTTGAGCATTTTCTAACTAGCCAGGATAAGACATTAAAAACATTAGACGATCAAATCTATTTTTCAAAGGCTCCTTGATTAAAAATTAGTATTTTTAACATAGTCATGGCACACTAGATTGAATTTTAAAATACGATTTCTTATTAAGCAAGAATGTCAAAAGTTGACATATGATAATATGTCATTCTATTCAGAATGTCATTTTATATCCAATAAAGTAAAAAAAAATACTGAAGCTGCCATTTAAAAATCAAAAGTTGTGGTCATTTCCGGTGAAACAGGAAGTGGCCAAAAACAATACAATTGAACAGGTCAATCAATCTTAATTTATGTCATATATTAACATACTAAATCTCGTTTTTTTATCTGAAAAAATGAAAAAGTTGTAGGGGTGAGCCACTTTTGAGACGCACCCGGTATATTTATTTATTTTGATTCAGCAAATACAAACAAAAGGTAAACAAACCGTTTGTTAGTTTATAGTTTGATTTAAGCTATTTGCTTGAGCTAGAAAATTCATTAAATACTATGTTATAGGGTTTTTTAAACAGTTGAGTTTATATGTCCAGAGAGGAACTTTTACATACGTGAGTGACAGCTCTGTGTCATTTTAATTCAAAATTTATAATTGTATTTGGCTGCCGAAATCGTACTTTCTTTTGTTCTTAAGAAACATCTTTTTGTTAACAATTTAGATAAATTATTCTAAGCATATTTCTTTTTTTACTTTTAAATACACAACATAAATAATATTTCCATGGTATATTACTAACGTTGTAATTTGCGAACTCTCTAGTAGGTATAATGGCTTTATTCCGGAAATTTCCTTCATTATTTCTCTAAGTCTTTTTTAATGAAATACGATCATACCGTGTAATTATTTTCTCCGAATTTAATTAAACTCTTTTCACGTTTCTTAGGTATATAAGAAATGAGGTAGTTGCGCACGATGAAAACAGCTTAAACTAGAGATGGGTTGACTTTGAACGATAAGTTAAAGTTAAACTTTATTAAATATTATTTATGTGTAGACTTAACATGTATTATATTAGTAAAATATTATTCAAGAAACTGATTGGATTATATTTAGTAAAATAATTTGGATAGCACGTGTTTTAATGGGATAATAAAATTATTTAATGAAATAAATAATAATATTTGAATTAAAATTAACTAGAGGTAAAATCATATTTCATTTTTATATAACTAGTAATACCAAATTTGGTCGCGATCGGACGATATCAACTTTTGACGTTTCATGCGTCACAATTAACTGTTACACTGACGCTTGTCGTACACGGTCAAATTGGCCTTGATCCAATCTATCGAGATACGAAATTTCATTTAAATCGGACTATTTTTTATTTGAGTCATTGATAATGGGGTTTCGTAGTGCAAGAAATGTCAAAATATGAAAAGATGGGGCTAAATAGATAAAAAAAATTTAAAAAAAAGAGAATAAAGAATATAAAAAGTATTATTTTTAGAGGCTATCTAAATAAATATTTAGATAGCCTCTAAAAGAAAAATAAAAGAGGCTTTTTTAATACAATCTAATAAAAATAAATGTATTGCTCATGCATCTGTAGATGTTAGTAATGTATGGCAATCGCTTCTTTGATTTTAAAGAACATAACATAAATAAACATAACATACGTAAAATTTAAAAATAATCATACAGAAAGTTTGGGGCTTTTTGGTTTTACCTTACTAAGTAACTGTTATCAGGTAGTAATTGTTAATTTTGAAGTTTAACTTCATATAATGTCATTTTAACAGAACGTCAACGGTTTCTTGTAGACGTATCCAGGGGTGGGAAAGTGAAATAGCAAAAGCGGTTCCACCGTTTCCACGGAAATTTCAAATAAAATAGTTCCAGCCTCAGGCGCTAGGTGGTAGTGCAATTAATTTTTAGGTTAAGAAGTTGCTGCTAGTTATTGCCAGATGGTGTTAAATCAGAATTTTATTGTAGTTTCCATAGTTTTCAACGGCCATTGTTATACTATTGTCAAATTCTCAAAAAATATTGTCGTTGTCATAGCGCCAATCATAATATTATCAAATGATTATCAAAACGTTTTTCAAACTATAACCTAACCTAACCTAACCGATCATAATATTATCAAATGATTATCAAAACGTTTTTCAAACTATAATTTGTGTTTTAATTAGACAATTCCTTTTGTTTGTGGCTCTAAAAATATAATGTAAGTCTTTTATTTTTCCCATCATTTAAGTAATTATTTATATTTACTCCATTTACAAAACTTTGGGCGTATTACCTTGGTCTTGTTTTATTATAATAAACGATGTTTAAATATTTGACTTATAAATAAAAACTTTAAATAATAAATAATATTTACACATGTTTGGCTTTAATTTTATTTAATAATTGTACAAATTATACTGTTAAATCTTATTATTTACACATCACAACGATATTTGTTATTAGTATTGTTGAATTTGTGTAAAAAATAAGATTTAATAATCAAATTTAATTATATTAGAGTAATATTCAATAAATACGCTCATTTAAAAAGCCCGCGCTTCGATCCATTTAAAACAAACCCTACTCAATAGATGGTGCCACTTCTGTAGGATAATTTTTCAGTATGGCAGAGTCCATTCTTTTTCTAGCTAGGTATATTCTTTGGACGTATCTGCTTTAAAAAACTGAAGTGTTCTCATAATAGTTTGAATTTAAGTATTTTAAATAGTTTTTTCTTTATTCTTTGTATTTTTTTGCTTCCGACGACGGGAAGAGATAGACTTTCGGAAACGTTAAGCATTTTTTTCTTTGTTAGGCAAATTTGTATAACTGTAAACATAACTTCTGACAAGTAGTTTCCGTTTGGGTTTAACGCAGAAGTGTTTACAAAAATAACAATTTTATTTTGTATATTTTCTTACAGTGCAGTGGCAAAATACCCATATAGGATTTTTTTTTGGAGATACTGAAAATTGTTAATTTTACCCATCTCTAGCTCGAGTTTTTCGACGAATTAAATATATAATTAATTTACGTTTATTTCGTGGTACTTAATCGTGAAAAAGGGTTGGCGAAAGCATGGCAAACTTGGATGAGGGTAGAAGGTCACGGATCTACAGCGGAAAAGGGAAAACGTACGGCCATTTTGAATTACGACACGGAAAATAATTTGCGAGCGTTTTTATCCGGTCTCTTTCAAGAATGAATGTGCTCGCGGGTAATGACGCTTTAAATAATTCGAAATAAGTAATGCGAGAAAGACTGTACCTAATGATTTGTTGTTTTGTAGTTTTTGTGATTTTTCCAAGAGGAAAAACTTTTTTATTATGGATATTTTGAGTAAAATGCATTCTTCATCAAAAATTTTGCTTATTCTAAAATAGTTTCTACTCTGTTTTTTTTCTCAAGTAAGATTTCAACAGACGATGACAGAAAAAAGCAGATGATATCCATATCAATCCATTTATTTAACTGAAAAAAGTTTCTAATATTTTTAAGTTAAGTATGGATAGGTTTACAGCGAGGGAGTCCGAACTGTATTCCGGATACTTCGGCAGCATATTCTGCAGATAAAAATAAGTAAAAAGTTCGTATAAATGTATGTCCTAAGATGCTTTTTGTTTCGAGATAGAGAGTAGAAGTTTCATTTTTTATTTCGATTTTCCAAATAGCTTCTGAAGTAACGACAACATTTGGATGAAAATTGGTGTTTGGGAGTTTTTTTTTGACATGAGAAATTTGATTTTGATGTCAACATGCCTCCTGCTAGTAGAGGGGCGCCATCTACATTTTTTAACTGATTTGAAGAGTAATAACTTTTCGTCCGTACCTGTATAAAACTACTGAGTAAAAAAATATAAATTTACGACGGTTTTTACGTAAAAAAGGTCTCTAGGTAAAAATCGCTTCGAGTAATGGTTTTCGAGATATTTGGAATCGAAATTATCAATACTGTCATCGTTGACATAAATTAAACATGTTGACTAAATAGTTATTAGACTGAAATCATAAATTTGAAATGTTTTTGTGCCAAAAGTTCAACAGAAACTGTTTTACCATCATTTTTTGCAGAAAAATTTATGAATAATTTAAAAAAATAAAATTTTCCAAATTTATTATTTCAGTGAAATAACTATCTACTCAACGTGTTTATGTTTCGTCAATAATGACAGGTATTGACCATTTCCATTCTAAATATCTTAGTAGGTAGGTAGTTTTATACAGGTACGGATAAAAAGCTATTACGCTTCAAAACAGTTAAAACACATGTAGGTGGCGCCTCCACTAGTAGGAGTCATATTGATATCAAAATCAAATTTCTCATGTCAAAACTTCAAGATTTTCATCCAAATATTGACGTTACTTCACAAATTATTTAGAAAAAATCGAAATAAAAATGAAACTCCTACTCCCTGTATCTCTGAAACTTTATACTATGAACTTTTTTACTTATTTTTATCTGCAGAATATGCTGCCGAAGTTTCCGGAATACAGTTCGACCACCCTGTATAAATCCGTCATGGCGTCATCTCTTGTTGCTTTTAACCAGTTTTATTGGTTTTATTTCAAAATGACCAGACCATATTTCAATATTATTATATTGAATATAACGATGATAAACGACAAATGGACGCCGATGCGTATGAATTCGACTTCGTTTTTGAAAGTTGTGAACTCTTGTCAAATTATAGGTTAAAATTTTGTGTCAAATTATGTCAAATAGAAATGATAAATATTTTGCATTTTGGACTGTGTTATTACGGGTGGTTCGTGTTTTTTAAAATTAAGTTGAAGAAAACTCGAGGGAAAATTAAGTGTTGACCCAGACCATATTTTACAGTTAATATTCGGTGCCCACAGACCGCCAGAGACAATTTGCCAGAGATTATGGCCAGAGAGTTGTATTAGCCACAAATAAAGTTTGTATACCATCTCGGGTATGGTACCAAAAACTAGAGTATTTCTATAATAGCAGCACACGATAGGTAAATAATAAATTTTAGTATGGCAGAGAGATAATGTCATAAGATACTGGTTTACAAAAATCAAAATTAAAGTTAATTAACCAACTTTTAAGGTATAATATTCAGTAACTGTTATTATTAATAAAATATTGTGTTTTATTTATTCCTTTGCAATATTTTTTTTTTATTTTTACATAAATTATATTGATAAATGTAACATAAATGCAGGAAGTTGCTTGAGCTTGAAACACGGCTTGAAAGCAATAAATCTTTTTTTTTATTTTTTTTTGGTATGTGGTGTTTTTTAAAATACACCCTTGCTTGTTTTGTATTAACACATACTGTAATTCTTTTTAATAAAATAACTCGATTAGATTTTTTCAATTTTATACAGATTTGTCACAATATTTTGAAGTAATCACTTGTCACTCAAATTCTAAATATATTAATTTTCTGCTATGCGTTCCAATTGTACCAACTTATGTCTATGTAAAATAAGATAAACTACTTTGAAAATAAAATGACAGACACATCTATCAATGCCAAGGATCTTGTCGCTGGACAGACTATAATCCGGTTTATATTTTCCAATTTTCTATACCTTTTCTAAGTCCTAAAAATCAAAACGCTTTTCTATGGTAATATAATTTCAGGGGCAACGGTCTAGCTACGTCGAAACACCGGTTCCCATTAGAACACCGAAGTTAAGCGACGTAAGGCGATACTAGTGGATGGGCGGGTGACCGGTTCGAAACTCTGTATAGTGCTGTTGTCCAATAAAGGCAAAAGTGTAAAATCTATTGACACACACTGCTCATTCACGCCGGTTCGAGGCCGAATGAGATCGGATATCTCGTGAGTAAGAGTCGATTTGACACTTGCCAAGTCGGTAGGCCATTGACCATGATATGGCCGAGGACCGCTGTTCGGATTCCGCCTAAACAATGTAGACCCCGTCCAGATTAGTCCTGGCAGCAAAAAGGAGACGTTAACTGAAATCTTTACTTTACTTTAATATAATCTCTTTTTTTTTTCTTTTTTTAATTGATAGAATTTCAATTAACGTCATATTTTTTGCTGTTTTAAAATATTAAACAAGCACAAAATTTATTTAGTTCAATGCTACGGAAAGGGTCATAATAGTTATTGGAAAATATGGTACTTCACTATAACCATCGTGATAACCATCTATCAAAGAATTAAATCGAAATTATATTACCATAGAAAAGCCTTTTGATTTTTGAGGACTTAAAGTTGGTGTATTTGTGACAAGTGTCTAGGTGTACCCATACACGAATTGTCAAAACGAGAAATACTCTCACAGTTTTCTTCTATAATATTTAATTCGTTATATTAGAAATAATCTTACCTTTATTCGATGGTACCACATCTGGATTCTTATCATCCTTCTCAAACAAATCCTCTGATTCCGATCTCAAAGGCAAAGTTACTTTGTCCTTGACAGGCAGAAACCGAGGTCTTAGAGCCCTACAGGCGTTGCGTCTGGAACGGCGTATCTTTAGGGCTAGCAGGATAACGACTGTAACCAGTAGGACGGCAGTGACGATGCCTACTAGGACGCCCAGGACGGGGGCTATTTCTATTTGATCGCGAGTTCCCAGAGACAAAACTGAAAAAAGAAAGAGAATTTCATTAAAATATAATCTGCGAGTTTAAAGTTTGAAACATAGGTATGTGCTAATATTTCATATCTTATTTATATAAAGTTAATCTGAAAATGAAAAGAAACACACACAAACTCGTTATTAGATTTGGAAAAAAATGTGAGGTTTGAAAAGGTTTGTATACTTGATTTCAAAGATATGCAAAAATATGTAATCACGTATCAAAAAAAAACAAAAACTGAAAAATTTGCTAAACAATTTTGAGTCGTCTGTAACTCGTTACTACTTATGAAACAAATGGCACGAGAGTGGCTCATTAGCATATTTGGAAAAAGCATTTTTTTACGAATAATTTGGTACCACGTACTTGGTATTTCGATTTAAATTGTCGTCGTTATAAAAAGTCGTTTTATGAACCTCATATTATAATTTTATTTTTTTTTACAGTTTATATGTTTTGTTTTTTGAAAATAAAAAATGTTTTAAAAAGTGTTTATGATTATTTTTGTTTTATAGTTTATTTTAAACCCTATCTGTCACAATAATTATGGTCAATGTGTTTTTGATCAAGAACGATGTCATGGCCATATGTTAACAAATTGTTATTTCCAGACCTACTTTCTTTACGCCATTATGCATAAATATGACGGTACCAAATTTTTTGTAAAAATGCTTTTTACAAATATGCTAATAACCTAACCTTAATTCCATTTTTGGGCTTCTTTTAACCGGTTAGAACAGGACACTCAAATATTAGACGATCAAATCCATTTTCCCAAGGCTCGTTGATTAAAAATTAGTGTTTTAACACAGCCATGGTACTCTAGATTGAAATCTAAAATACGATTTTTTAAGCGAAAATGTCAAAAGTTATATTCCGTGGGTCATTTTATATCGAGAGAGAGAGAGAGAGATTTTGATTTATTAGGTTTTTTAGCGAGGGTTTTAGCGCTCAATAATAAGCTTTATTTAATATGAGGTTATTTTAAATAATTTTAAGTTAGAAATTAAAGTTTTTTCGTTATGTTGATGCTGTCTAAGAATTCCATAACTTTATTAATCTTCGAAATGTTAAAAGGCGCGAAAATATTCTCATAGGTAACAGCATTAAAGAATCTAGACCTATGGGAGGCAACCAGGGGTGGATGGGAAGTGGAAACCGGCCCGGGAAAACAGACAACCGGCCCAAATCCAACAAAACAAAATGACCATAACGAAGAAACATATAATATATAAGTAAGGGTGTTTTTTGCTAGTGCGAAAAGCCCTTTTGCCTCCAGGTTTTTAAAATTAAATTGTCTTGATCAACATTTTCGTCAAAGGCTTGGGTCGGACATCTGAATTTTTACTACAAAATGGCTCAGTTTTACAGGGTTCTACTGCTTTATTTCCATTATCGATAACGGTAATTTGATCTTGAATAGGCTACGATTTTGAGTCACCATTTTGAGAAACTTTAAGACTTCCTGATTCGTTCAGCTGACCCAATCCTCAGTGAAATACATTACTTTTAGCTTTTCGGGTATATACTTTCTTACTCATTGTAGAAAGAAATTCTCTCTTTTCTGATACAGCAGCAGCCTCGTCGTGTATACGTGTTTTTAACTGAATGCAGATGCTGTTTAAAACTGCAGCATTTTTTAGGTTATTATACAGTTTTTATCACGAAAATATTCCTCTCTACTTTTCTACATTTGGCATCTTGTATGATAATGCCATGACTCAAACGAAAAAAACCTAGGCAGTGGATATGAATCTGTTCTGATGTAATGCTATGTTACAGTCCATAATCAGAATATTTGGATTTTCGAGATATATTAATATTTTATTATCTAATCTAGTTTAAACCTCATCTCTGCTGTCTCAGTAATTTTTAGCAAATTAAGTTTAGCAACGTTTTAAACAACAATTTAGACTTGGCTTTTAGTTGTCAGACTTGGCTTTTAGTCCGTCCCCAATTCAAACCAAACATAGATATGTTTTCTCCGTCACCCGCAGAGTTCGCGTCAAATTCGTCTACCTTTTTACAAAGGGGACCTCAAAAAATATTGCACCGAGGCCCCCAGTTGTCTACGCTACCGTATTCTCAGTATACATTTAGATCGAAACTATTTAAATTTACCTAATGCTATTCATTCTTTTTTCTGCTGTCAGTCAGTCATATTTATTAGTTATTAATAAAATAGTGGGTAAAACTATACAGGGTGAGTCTTAAATAAGTGCAAATATTTTCAGGGGTGGTATATTTCGACCACATGAACCTATAAGGGTTTTTTTGCAAAAAAAATGTTAAAAATCGAGCATTTTCTTTTAAATTTTCCTGTATATTTTAGAAAATTTTTTAGGTCCTGTAACTTCCTGTTCACCGCAAACCACGGTATAGTTTCTTAATCTCTGATATTACGACACTAAAAGAGATCAAATACTGTTAAAAATTCATTCACTCAATTTTTTGAAAATAAATCTTTTTTTTTAATTTCAAACATTAATAACTCTATTGGACTTATTTGAAACTCGTAAAGAGAATATATTATGTTTATTTTATGGAGATTTACCAGCCCTGAATATTTGCACTTATAGACTCACCTTGTATAATAAAAAATTTTAAACCCAAACCGAACAAACAACAGATGATTATTAAAATTATAAGTGTCCCAGAGAAAGACATTTTACAATAGTTATTTTACAAATTGGTATTTATGTTTAAAAGTAACTGACGATTATACTGATGCAAATTGATCACTTTAGTTAGAAGATTAACCATTTAATTTTTTTTGAGCTTTGATCGGCCCGGCGCGGCCCACCGGCCGATCTTTCCACCGGCCCACCGGGAATTTTCCCGTTTTCCCATATGGCCCATCCACCCCTGGAGGCAACAGGTAAGCATTCAAAAGAATGTGTCTCATTGACATTAAGTTGTTGCATAATGTGCATTTCGGAGGGGTTCATTTCTGATAATATATGATTTGGTAAGATATGAGTGTCCTGTGAGGGTTCTAACAACTTTACAGAAAGATCCGCGTTCAAGAGAATATATATTTTTGATACAGATGAAGAAGTGGCATATATATATATATATATATATATATATATATATATATATATATATATATATATATATATATATATATATATATATATATTATATATATTATAAAGTAAGAAAATATAGAGGGTGCCGTTTAAAAATCAAAAGTTGTTCAGGGCCCGTATTCTGTAACTTTGAAAAGGCTAAGCGCTTTTAGACGCTCAGCGTATATGACGTTAATTTTCGCTGAGCGCGCACTTAATTAACGATTTCGGTATTCTCGTCTGACGCGCTTAGCGTGTTTACTGATTGCGCTGAGCGCTTTGAAAACGGTTGCCTTAAAGGATCGTTTTGCTTGTCGAACTGTCAGTAAAATCGAAAAAATTGTGATTTTGTGCGTTATCTTGCTCTTTAGTGCAAATTACTACTTCTTCTATAATTTCCTCAATAAATAATTGATAATTTACGATTTGGCAGCTATAAATATTGTTCAAAACATCGAAAATGCTGAGAAGCGTCTTCAACACTTCCCTCGTATAATAAGAATAATGACATATCCATAGAAAACTAGCTTGACATAACTCAACAATAGGTTATGAAATTCACGTAACATTGACATTTTTCATTGTTACATCCGTCAGTTATCAATTTTTGACTATTACCTACATTAAAAATTCTGATGTTGCCAATATGTGCTCAACGCGTATCCAGAACACGATTCGCATGGCAACGAGAATACCAAAATGACTGCCTTGCGTTTCGCTGATCGAATACTTGCGCTCACCGCTTTGAAAGCGTAACGTTTTTATGTCAAAGTTACAGAATTCGGGCCCAGTTCTGGTCTTTGAATAAAAAGACTAAGGAAGGAGCATATCAAAATCTTAGGTACACCGCGATGGGCCTCAAATATGGCCGACTTAAATTCCGGTTAAAATTGTTATAAAAATATATAATTCTAATAAAATAGATAAGTTATAATAAGTATTTATTAACACAAACATCCGATACGCTACTGAAGTAGGTAAGTCAAATTAACGTATCTAAATTCTTTGACATCTAATCTTTGACAAGTAATAAATAAAAGCTAAAATGCAAGAAAAAATATATAATTTAGTTAATTTAAGTGAATTTCATAAATGATCGGTTTTACTACACGTATGTATATTATATAGTCACTTACTAGCGAAAAGTTGTTCCATTATTTCACTCAATTTTGGCCGAGATCTACCGCACGCTACACAACCAACTATTTTAGAGTTTTTTGATAAATCGCGATAGTGTCACTGTTAATTTAAGTTCTGCCACAATTTCCATCTAGATTTACTACCTTTATACAACTATCAGTAGTAGAATAAATAATAAATAACATAAAAAAAAGCTCCGTAAAGATTGACAAATCCACAAAATTTCAAATCAAATTCAAATGTGTCAAATGCATCGTCAAACAGAACTGTCAAGGATCCCCACCCTAGACGTTTTTATGGCGCTTTTTCTGCCCACCATGCATGAAGTATATTATATAGTCACTTACTAGCGAAAAGTTGTTCCATTATTTCACTCAATTTTTGCCGAGATCTACCGCACGCTACACAACCAACTATTTTAGAGTCTTTTTTGATAAATCGCGATAGTGTCACTGTTAATTTAAGTTCTGCCACAATTTCCATCTAGATTTACTACCTTTATACAACTATCAGTAGTGGAATAAATAATAAATAACATAAAAAAAGCTCCGTAAAGACTGACAAATCCACAAAATTTCAAATCAAATTCAAATGTGTCAAATGAATCGTCAAACAGAACTGTCAAGGATCCCCACCCTAGAGTGCTGTTATTGTGCTTTTTCCGCCCACCATACATGAATACATGGATAGCATTATGCTCCTTCCTTAGTCTCCTTATTCAAAGGTTCTGGCAAAACAGGAAGTGACTGAAAATAACTGAATACGTCAATCAATCCCTAATTTGTGTCATATA